TTTAGCGACACTGTAAATAGTATAGCCTACATTATGTTTAATAAAGCACACATAACTAACCTGATAGTGGGTTAAAAAATATATATATATATATATATTGATTATGCTATATATAATTATTTATCTTAGTTAATACAATAGTTTTCATTAAAAAAAAACTCTTTCCACTGATCCACATTTTTTTTTTTTTTTAAAGTCATTACTGACAAGGTTTATTAGAGATAAGATTGGACAGTACATATGATTACATGAGCAATTCGTGTAACTAATTTTTAATGCTATCTAATCTTCATATCTTATAAACTCTAGTTAATTTTATCTGCAAGGTACCATTATGTCAGTACTCTCTGCTCTGCCCAGGCAGTGATGTTCACAGGGATCCATCACAGACTTGTATTGTTTGAGTTATCAGGGAGCTGGGATTGTTACCATTGAGGGTATTGAGCTTAGTTCTTATATTCCTTATGTGAGCATAATATCATATTTAGACTGCTAAGGTTATCAACTATTATCTAAACCTATGATTTGATATGAGATTCTGGTGGTTAAATGGTACACTATGTTCAATTTTCATCTTCCATTTAACCATTTTTAACTACTCTTCAAATATGGTCTTTCAGGATTTTTTTTGGTTACTTCGTAGTGGATTGCTTTTCCTATTGGATTAATTATCTTGATGATTGTTTCCGAATTTCTTCTCCCAGGATCTACCCCTGCATTTTCCCATTGTGAGTCTTGATTCAACGTCACTCGACCTTTGTTAGGTAGGTTATCTTTTTGTGGTAGCCATTGGTGATTGACAACACATGTCTCCCAGTATGTGTCCAGCCCATTACACTTTCGACTGGTGCAAGCGACTGAAGTCTCCCAGATCTTCCATAAGTGAGTTTTTTTGAGAAGAGGTAAATATCGGCATCTAGATTGTCGGAGAGAACCAATTGGTTTTTTTTTTCAGTCTTCATATATTCTAATTAATATAATGTTCTTTGTTGTAGTTAGGCACTAAAACCAGTCGTAACATGTATGACCTGATTTTATAACACTGTGGTCGGGTGATGTGTTCTGATAGGTCGTTTTGTGTACAAGAGTGCATGTGGCTTTGAGCATGCATCTTGTACAACATGACCTATGTTATGAGAACCATTCATGGGTGGGATTGAACTGGTATCTCATGAATGGTGATCTGGGAGTGCACCTACTGCACTATTGATCCACAGGTCTTGCTGATCCACATTTTTTTAAAAAATTTCTTTTTTTGATAATTTTCTTGAAAAACTCATAAAAACTCTTCTACACAAGAACAAGCCTCAAAGGATATAACCATCCACTTCTAGGTAACAAAATCTACTTTGCAACAACAGGAAAAGAGTTTTGCTCAGCTTGAAAGACAAATACTTTTAAATCATTTTTGCTTTTAGGAAGGAGAAAAAGCAAAAACAAGCTGATTTACAATAGGTTTCTTGAGACCCAACCTCAACTCCACAAAGCTCTTAGCCAGGCCAGTGCAGGTTAATACCTTTCTAGGTACTAAGAGAAGTCTTAAAAGTAATAGATTATGCTAATAAATTAGCACAACCTTAAAGCTAACTGAAACCCAGGAGGACATACAAGTCTCTTTGGTCAAACAACTAAAAGATCACAACAACACAACAACTTCAGATCAACTAAGTCACGTAATGCAAACACGAACATGTTAATTTTTTACCTAGTTGACGTGTATCAAAGCAAGCTAATCTATTTACAACAAAATAGTAAAATGTGACAAATCAACAAACTGAACATGTGTGATCAACCAGCATGTGTCATCTAAAACAAGATCAACAGTTGATAATAACCAGTTACATGTTAATAAACAAATACTGAATGTATAAACAAATAGAAGCCACATGTCATAAACTTTCTAATATTAATATAGCAACTTATTGCCATATATGCCAAACAGAAAAATAATACATAACAGTATTTATCTGAGCACGTGATTAAAAAGACATCAATACAATAACAATATGTGAAAAATTTTTTGTATATCATATGACAACATGTTAACAAAAGAATAAACAATAATTAGGATCCTAGAGAAAAGAGAAAAGGAGCTATTAAAAGTATTGGGAAAAATAACATCTCATCAAGATTCTCAGCAAGTACTTTGGGAAACAAGAATGATACAGCATGAGCTAAGACCAACAACAACTAATCAACCCCACATTCTTGCCAAGTCAATACATATTTCCTCAATACTTGATAATATTATTGCCAATCTATTGAGGATAAATCCATTAGTAATGGCAAAGGAACATATGTTGCGGCAATATATTCTTACTCTCTGGAAAAAGGAGCAAGGTAAAAAGGAAGACTTAGAAGTGTCAATGTTAGAAGAAAAGATGTATAACATGTTGACAAGCAAGCCAGTTATATAGACATCAAGTACCAATCAAGTTAAAGTTTCTATGATAGGAAGCATTCCAATAGAAGTTCAACCAATCTCTATAGAACTCGAAGAAGTGCACCCCATTAAGGAAATCATAATGGAGGATAGAGAAGTGGTGGAACGAATAGAAATAGAAGTGTTAAAAGAAATAGTACAAGGAAGCTGTATTATAGATAGTATGTCTTATAATACAAGAAACAAGGTTCAAGGAACAATAGTAAACCTATTCTTCATAAAACAACAGGAATCAATCAAGGTGAGGGTATTTCAAGCCATGTTATCAGGAAAAAACAGAGAAGAGGGAATTATATATTTCAAAAAAGCTTTAAAAATACCTAAGTGAATAAATCCCTTCAAACCAGAATTCATCAATGGCAACCATTGAATTATATTTGGCTTTGATGAAAAAGAAGATGCAGCAAGATGTCTGGAGGCTGTTAACAAAAAAGAAGCTGAGAACTTCACACTTAGAAGAATGAACAAAAATATAAACACATGACCAGCCTTCCAAAGATATGTTCAGAACAAAAAGTTTTTCAAGCCAGAAAGCTTTCCATCAGCTAAAAATAGATCAAAATATATCACATTGGTAGATACAAATCACAAGCTTGGCAAACATGTGATTAGATAAACAATGGAAGAATTTGGAGAGATTATCAATATTCATGAATATAGAACATCTTTTTATCAAAAACATTTCAAATTTTATCTTTATGCTCATCAAGAATATATTAACTTGAACAAGGAATGAGTGATCAAGATAAAATCCAATCAAGTATGGTCTATAATAGCCCACAAGGAACAAGATGACCAAAAAATTACTCAGATTCTAAAAGAAAGAAAGAGATACTCCTTAAGACTTTATGGAGTTGATGGAGATCTATAAAATCTATAGAAGAAGCCTTAAACCATAAGAAGGCTAAGACCTTTTATATATCAAAAAACAAGATCACCTTAATATCAGAAAACTATGTAGTAGTGTACTTTGAGAATGAAAATGATCTAAGAGAGGCACTCCAACATCAAATAAAGATCGACAGTCAAGGACTAGGATGGAGTGCAAAGAATTATTATTATTGCAAGGTGTCAACCGATCTGGCTAGGTCAAGCAATATACATATAATGATTAAAGAAGCAAGAGAATAAGATTGCAAAAGTCATAATAGAGCAAACAGAGATAGAGAAAGTAATGAAGATATTATGGAAACTGAAAAAGAAGCTATACTGGCAGTAAGACCCAGCAGAATCAATAGTCAGTCAGAAAACAGGAGAAGTATAATGAGGTCTATACCATCAGTAACTGGTAGCAATAGGAAGCCACTAGGAAGACGAAGACATCAGGAAGCAAGTCAAGTCCCATATCAGGCTTCACAATATTCCTTAGAAATAGATGATAAAGCTTCAGATACTAGACAACATCAAAGGCAAACAACAAGACGGGAAACAAGAAGCCTAAGATCAACTGTAAAGCAAGAGTCAGAGGTAGCCCAGC